TGTAATATCATTTATATCTGACACTGAAGTGATTTCAAAGCCAAAAATCCAGGCATTTTCCAAAGTCTCAGACCTACTTGGTCTAAATGGAGAGAATGAGGCGTCTCACACAGCATCTGGTGCTGGGAGTGGCTACCATTATCTCAGCACTTGTGCCTTTGCGCTGAGAATGGGTGAGGGCTGAATCAGAGCCATGAGGAAAGCAGCTCTGTGTGAGAAGGGGGACCTGGAGCCTGGGGAGCCTTGCAGAGATGTTTCCCAGGGCTGCTGGAGATAGCCAGAGAGGTCCCAGCCCGTGGCAATGCTGAGGAGTGAGGGGGTTTTGGTGTGGCTGCTGGCAAACCTTGGCTGCACACCTCTGCGTGTCAAACTCCAGCTCCTAACTCCAAAACTGTACCTGGGAATCGCTGGGGGGGACTGTTGGTTGCCAAGTACCCATGCCAGGTGCCATTGTGACAGTGGAACAGCTTCCATGGGGTGTCCCCTGGCTCTGCTGCCTTCCCTGGGCTCACTTACAGCACAGCCAGTGGTGCTGCGTGCCTCCTGAAGGACAGGAGGTCATCTAAGACACATGAACTCTGCAATAAAGTGCATGCCTTTTCTAAAAGAAGGCAGCATGCAAGAGTTTAGCAGCCCAGCCTTTCACTAGTTTGGTGTTTTGGAGAGTTTTCATATTTCTGTGACATGACTGAAGGTAGACAACAGCTCTTCAGCTAACACTGCATGCAAAAGTCCCTCATTCCACGTGCTGTGTTGTTCTCCCTTTTGCCAAAACACCTCTGTTAAACTGGATTTTGGGGTTTGATTATTAGGCCCACACAGTACAGTCTTCAGGGTTTAATAATTGCCTCCATGGTTCCCTTGTAAATAACAATTTTTTTTATACTCTGTACCAGAACCAGGAATAAACATGTTCTGATAATAATAGCTGTAGAGAATATATATCAGATATATTATCTGATAATAATAGCTGTAGAGAATATATATCAAATATATTATCTGATAATAATAGCTGTAGAGAAGCTCTGCTCTGGCTGCAGAGCAATGGAACAGCAAGAGCAAAACTGTTTCTTGAATAACTATTAAAATGTGTTGTTATAAATGTTATTTTCCTGACAAAACATACTGCTATTAAAAATGGAGGTAGGCTATTGTGATGGATCGATATTTATTTCTTTTAAGGTGCCATTTCTTTTACCTGTTCAACAAGAATTCTGTGTTTAAATGAATTGCACTGCTTTTCTTCCTTGAGAGTGCTAGGATTGTGAACTTATAACTCCAGCAATCACCTACCACTCAGGAAAATTAGCTTTTGAATTTACAACAGCTCTTCATTTGGCTGTCTTGGCTGCAATGTTTTGAACTAATTAATTTTGTACTTTGTTTATGTTTCTCATAATAAGCAATGGGAGGTTTGAGAGAGGATCTAAATCTGTAATTTTATTTTAAGGATGTTTTGGTGTTGCTCTTGTATTATTCTTTTATCATTCAAATACAGATAGGAGGTGATGTAAGTCATACAAACCTCTGAGTGTTACATTCTGCCACTTTGACATTATAATACTACTTCAATCAAGAAATGATCCTCTTAATTTCAGAGGGGCTATGCACTGAAGTAGTTGGTAGTGGGCATGGATAAGAACAGCAGGCTCTGGCTGAGAAACTTTAACTTATCATAGAATGTCTGGGCTGGAAGGGACCTCCAAAGGTCATCTAGTCCAACCCCCCTGCAATAAGCAGGGACATCTCCAACTAGATCAAGCTGCTCAGAGCCTCAGCAAGGCTGACCTTGAATAACTTGCATGCAACTCCTTAAAAGGGTAGATGACCAACATGACAGAAGAGTGCAAAGCCAACTCCAGAGCTCCTGCCTATACCACAATTTCCTGTGCACCTTTATATGCAGTCTTTTACAGCTCTGTGGTGAGACTGAAAGGCCAGCATGCTCATTAGGTGATTTAAGCTATCTCCAGGAGTGGAGAACATGGGTTTGGGGATTGTAGATCATCAATAAGTTGCTGATGTGTGAAATGAAAAACCACCTTGAGGTCAGCTTCCAGTAGCTTCATCCTGAGTTCAGGCAGTTTGGAAACACCTGGCTAAGCCCACTGATTATTTGATCGACTGCTATGACTTGAAAAACAAGATAGAGATATTGGACAAAAATGACTTATTCTGAACTTTTAAACACTGCTGCTTTTTCCCATGAAGAGATCAGGGTCTGTAGCAAATGCAGCTGCCACAAGGCAGCACAGCCCACTGCTCTGCAGGGATAACAGCTCTTTGCAAGGAGCCCACAGCCTTCATGATCTGATGAGTTGCATATCAAGGTCCTTCGACAACCAGATCCTTGAGACATGACCTGCCATACTGCAGAGCCCAGGGAGAGCTCTTATTTCCAACTGTTTGATATTGCTTTGACCTGTGGGTCCAATGCAATGGGCTTAGGTGCTTGTATAAGCATATATGCTTATATTACTTGCCCAAATCTTCTTGAGGAAGTCACCAACACTGTTATTTGACTAGCAAATAACAAAGAAGTTCCAGATTTTTAACTGAAACCTTGGTGCATGTGCTCTCTCAATTAAGGTTGCTGTTCTGGTAGTTTTCAAGGGAATTTTTTATCTGTTGCACTTATTAACTATAACTTAGTACTGCTGTAAATTAAACTGAACCTATCATATAGGAAATTTTGAGGGGTTCAAACCGTGGCAACCAACGAGACCAAAGCAGCCCTTCCAGAGGTACCAGCCCTCTGGTTTTCTTGTGTAAGTTATCATAAGCTATTTGGCATGAGAAAAGCTTTCTGAGAGTTCAGGGAGTAGTTATTAACTTGCCACAATCAGTGTGTGAACTGCCACTGTATTAAAGCTCTAGAGATTGATGTGAGCCAACAGGACCACAGCTTTTTGCCATGCTCCCAATGGACACTACCGTTGGTTTATTAAATAAGTTGATTTAGAGGAAATCACCACTGAATTGAATAACTTTTAAAGCTGACCTTATTTTCTCTAGAAAGATGGAAGCTTTTCTAATAGGCTTGGTGGTATGTCAACTCAGCCTCCAGAATTCCTGCCTGCTTTCTAGTGCCTGACTGGCACCCTGCCACAGTCATCTGAAGTGAATTACAGCAGGGGGAACCGTTGTTTAAGAATACTGGGAGAAGTCCTGTCACTGTTTTACTTAAAGAATTATACTGACACCATTACTCAATCTGTTTTTCTCTCCTCAGCTAGTGGCCTCCATCGTGTTTATCAGCTTTGGCGTGGTCGCAGCGTTCTGTTGTGCAATAGTTGATGGAGTGTTTGCAGCACGACACATAGTAAGTGCAGTGATTTTCTGTCATCTTTCACTTTTGATTATTTATGGCATTTCTAGCAGGAAAACATCTCATTTTGGTTTATGTCTAGCAGTATTTTAGGGGTTTTGATAGTTCTCCGTATTGAAGAAACCTCTTTAGGCAAAAAAATTGACAGGAAACCCCATCATGTCAGTACCCAGAGATGATGCCAACTGCTTCTTTCTCTCTCAGGGAGTTCCAAACACAGAGGTGATGCAGAATGATGTAATGACAGATGTGCTAACAGGCATAGGAAGTGTCCTGTGTGTTCCCTTTCCGAGGCAGGAAACCGCATCAGCTGCCGCCGGCCTTTGTTTCCTTTTTGCACAGAGGCTTTGTGAGCATGGGATTTGGAACACGTCGGGTGGTGATGAGCACCAGAAGTCCCCGTGGGAGCTTTAGAGGGGAGTGGATTGCAACAGCACAGAGGGAACATTTGGTTGGAGCAAAGGCAGGCTCTGCTTTTGGAGGGAGCGGCAGGCTTTGGTTAGAGGCGGTGTGAAGGGGGAACCTACTGAGTGACAAACAACCCAAAATTCACTGCCATCAAAGGGTGGGTGGGTCATTTAACCAGGGTGATTAGTGTTTCCAGTGTGTCCAAAACCCAGTCCTCCTTCCCCCAAACCTCTAGCCATCTGCTTCAAAAGGGCATCTGCAGGCACTCGCAGTACTGCAGTTGCAGTGATGTTCCTGGTAGCTCATTCCTGACTGTGAGTGCCTAGAACTCTTTATCATCAGCTTCTTGTGTAAGCACTAAACAAAATTAGAACAAAGTTGGGTTTTTTTTGTTTTGGTTTGGTTTTTTTGGCTTACAATGTTCAAATTGAAACTTTTTGTCTAGTATTTCAAGAGAAGAAGAAGACAGGCTGGGTGGTGGGGTCATTTGAATACACCAGCTTGCATGTTAGATATGTGTTGTTTGCTGTTCTCTCTTTTGTGGTAGAATACCTACAAGCCAACCTAAATTCAGCCTTTTAGTTGAGCTTTGAATTCCAAAAGCATCAGGAAATAATCAGCTATGTTTTAATAGACACTAGAAGTCAGCTGTCGTGTGCTACAGAATACAACAGGTATGATGATGTATCAACCCCTGACTGCTCTGAAATATCATGGGCCTGGTTATTTTTCTGCTTGTGTTCATTGAGGGGCAGCATAACCCCACTGGCATCAGAAGCTCTTGACTTGATGTTCTGTTAGCAAACACATCAGAACAATTAGGCTGTGGATCACTTGGAGCATAAAGCTGTAAACTGATTTCTTTTTGACTGTTCTTGAAGAGGACTTTAAACCAAATGTGGGCTCCAGAACCTCACATGCATTGCACAAGGAAGAAAACATCTATTGACACAAACAACTGAGTTGTGCAATGTGAGCATGAATAAACACTCTGGGTTGTAGCAATGTTTTGTGCTATACTGGACCCTGCATGATGCTGAAGTAGCCTTGGATTCCCCCTGCTGTTGCTCTGGGGGACACTTGGTATAACTTTGATTAGTGTAAGCCCACAGAGCCTTTCCTTGCTTAGAAGAGGAGGGGGTCAGATTCCTATTTAGGTTTCCTGCCTCTGAAAATTACTTCCACATATGTTACTTAGCTATGCTACAAAAGACACTGCTTCCTATCCAAATCTAAGAACATGGCAGAATATTATTATACTGTTATATATGATGAAACATCATCCCATACATCATACCTAGAGTTGACTTTTGCCTCCTCTTTATTGTAGCATGAATAGCTGTGGCAATAGTTGCTGTCCTGGGATGCTAATCACTAAAAGTGATTTCATTCCTTGCAGTGCTCTCCAGGGAGAAAATGGGCCAGGGAGTGATCGTAGGGGAGCACCAAAGCAAAAAGTCATTGCATTCACCCAGGAAGAATGCAGTCTTGGATGCACTTTGGTATCTGGTTAAGGCACTGACTGGGTTTGACTGCAGAACTGGAGACTTGGAAGGGTCTAGTCACCATCCAGCCATCCCTCAGAGGGCTGGAGAGGTACAACCTGATGAAATGAGCTCGCTTCAGTCATGGCATGACATGGTTCATGGAAATCCATTTCCAGCTGGGCCAAGATTTGTCATATCTGTCTCTCCTGGTCCCCTTCATGTATTACACAAAGGAATAGTGGTATCATTTGTTGGAAGACTAATTGGCATGTCAGCATGTCACTCACTGCATCTCATTCTGCTCCTCTCTTTGATAAGGAGCTGAACAGGATCTGGTGAAATAAAGCTGGATGTCACCTGATTTCTCTTACCTGACACCCTGGCAATCCCTAGGGGTGGCAGTGTGAGTACACTCCCAGTCTCATTTACAGGAGTGCTGGGGCCCTGTCAGAAGAAGGTGTGTCATGCAGACCAAGGTGATGCCAAAGCTCCAGGTTCCTTTTCTCCTGGAGGGAGAAGCACTAGCTGAAGCCAAGCAGGTTGCTGCACATTTTCTCCTGTTCTTGTAAAACTGTGGCTAGAAGCATAAAATGCTTTCTCTGTTATATTTTCTTCCCAAGAGGGCATAAAACTGACAAAAATTCTTCCAGGAAAAGGGTTGTCTTTCAGAAAAGAGCTATTTAAATTATTTAATACTAATTTTAAAACACTTTGCTTCATAGAAAGCTCTGGAGCCTAGCACTTATAAAATTAAGAATGCTGAAGGAAGAGTAGCTTGATTTAAAATAGCAGTAGCTTATTTAAAACATAGCCCAGACATAATTTACTGTGTAAAGTTAATTTTGCCATTGATCCCTTCAGCTGTACTTTTCACCTTAAAAAAAAAAAAGAAAAAAACTAGAATTAAATGAAACAAATCCAAGCTGGAATTAATGGGCAGTGATGTTATGTCAGAGAAATATGGTAAAACAGCCAGCAGCAAGAAATCCAGTGGTATAGTGAGGAAATTGCCTGTGAGGGCTTCCTGGGGAGGTTAGGAAGGTGATGGGTAGCAAAAGCATGGGCAGATACTTTAAGCTGTGAAGACAAATGCTTTGTATCACGTTTTCATGTGGGACTCATGGAACACTGGTACTGACTGACACATGGCCAGTCATGTTTTCCTGAAGTGTGGGATAAAAAGAGACTCGGACATGCCTGAGAGCTCTAGAAGAAACCAAGGGCTCAGGCAGGGGAAGTCCTTTTTGTTTGACTACAAGAACTGCTTTTTAATTTTGTGGAATAGAATTGGCAGAGCATATCCAGGCAGATTCATTAGGGAGGATCCACTAAAAAGAAAAAGCAGAGTTAATGAGCTTGGGATAATACCAGTGAGAACACCAGAAGACACAGCAGTGAAATTGCAACTTGGCACTGCTGCCATTATCCTTTCTGTGACACCTCTTGGACTTAGTCTATTTTTTTAATACAGATAGACCCTAATCCATTCAAGAATTTTCTTAAGTGCCCACAAATAAGAAATTGAGAAAGTGGTGGAATGTAAAATGTTGGGAAAACAGGTCCAGAAAAAGGAAAAAATCCATTTATTCATAAGATTATCCTGCCCAAGATCAGTGGGGGCTTGTTCATCCTCACTAGAAAGCACAGACACAAGTGGTTGCTTTGTTTATGGACATCTGGGGACTTCTTTATTCTTGCTACAGACTGCCTTGGATCATAGAAGTGAAATGGTGGAGGAATAAGAAACAATCTGTAGTTTTTTGTGATGTAGGATAATTCTGGAAACAATAGTTATTTTGAAGGAGACTAAATCCCAACCGTAGCACCTCTGGGGCAAAAATATGTTGCAGTGGCTTTATATCACAAACTTCAGGGGAAAGTTCAAATCCCATCCTGCCTAAAAGCAGAGGCAACATGTTCAATTCAGATTTACAGTGGCATTTTCTTCCAAGCTGTTCTCAGTGCTTCAGATGTGCAAGAATTGGAACAGAAAAAGAGCTGGGCTCCAATCCTGGTGTCCCTTTTTGCACTCTTGCTGACTTTGTGTGTCAGCTCTACACTGATGACTGAAGCCCTCAACACTCCTCTAAATGTTAGAGGGATAAGTGTGTAAGGAAAAGGGGAATGCTGTTCAAGGGCAGAGCTGCTTGTCCATCATGAGTTCTAAAATGCACATCAAACCAGGAAGTCTCTTGGGTTCCTCTCCTTTTCTGCAGAGCCACTTGTGTGTCACGCTGATTTGATTGAGTTTAATTTTCAGCCAGTCTAGTTCCTTCCTCCTGATGGTAGTAGCTTAAGGAATTAATTAAAATAGAACATTATCAGGCACTAAGCCCCAAAATGAACCTGGAGCTGCACTGGAGGACACTGAAACATGCCTAGCATGGGATCTTCATCCACATGGTTCATGTGAAGCTTGTGGACTGCTGAAGTGTGTCAGCTGTGTACTTACCTAGGGATTTGGGAGCTGAGAAACTGAATTTGAGATACTTGTCTTCTCTTCATGTACAGTAACTCAAAATACTGTTTAATAAGACACATTATAGGAAGCAGAGACATGGCAATGGGAACATGGAGCCTTTCAAGATAGCTTCCCCTACCTGGTGAGCAAATAACTACATGACAACACTGCAGTCCCAGCCAACCCTGGCAAAAAACAGCATGAGAGGATGTGGGCTCTGGTTCCTTCAGCTTGTCCAAAGGATTCACATCAGGGCTGTTTTGCACTGTACCTTTCTGTGATGCAGAAACCAGATCAGGGAACTGAGTGCTGGTTTTTTTCCTCACAAAAACTCTGTGTCAAATACTTGTCATTAACAAGTTTTGTTAATGCTTTCAGTGTTTTGTGGGCTACCAAGAAGTACAGTCTGAAATACCATGAAGACCTGCTGACTCCAGGCAGGGATGCTCACCCGGCAGAGAGCTGAAGGTTCCCTGCTGCTTCCTCAGCCTTGGGAAGAGGGGTGGGGGCATGTTTGTGCTCAACAGCTGCTGCTTGCACATGCAGAGACTGAGAATGCCAAAACTCTTTCCATTTTTGAAGCTTCTTGAGCAGATTGCAGTCAAGAATTGCACTCATTCACTGATGACCACCACAGG